AGTACAAAGATGTCAGAGAAGCAAAAGCACCTTAGATTTGCATTAAGACTTTATCGCATCCCAATGTATTTTCTCATGTCAAGTTCAGAGAAAAAAAATCACCTAACTTATCTATGAAGAATCGCGACATTGCCGTACAGAAGGTATTCGTAAGTGCTTTAGCGGTGTGCTGTTAGATACATAAAAATATAATTGGAGGGTTTTAATTTGTAGAGTGGTGAGGTCCTTTTGCGGTTTGTAATTGGCTAGATAAGAAAACGCGGCGCTTTTAAGGGTTGTGATTGGTGGAGGGGAGAACGAACTAGGGGTAGGGTGGGCGGTGGTACTGGAAAATGTACTTTTAATGATTTTATTGGTTCGTAGGAAGACATTGAGAGAGAGAGAGAGAGAGAGAGAGAGAGAGAGAGAGAGAGAGAGAGAATATGGCTGAACAACAGATAAAAAATAGACTATCCCAATCAAATCTGTCTGTTTACCCGTCTGTCTTCCTACCGCAATGTAGTATGATAGTTAAAAGCATCCATTTAGTACTATGGACCCACAGAAAGGATAAATTGCCTTGGAAGTTTCGCTTGATCAGTTAACATAGGTGATTTTAGTCTAATATTGACTCGAGACTTGAAGCCGCTAGACGTGTTACTTAAACTCTCACAGGTAAACGAACTTACCTTTAAATAGCATTTGTTATTTATATCTGTTTATTTTGGGAAAGGATGGAACTTACTATGGAAGGGAAGAATCACAGCAGAATACATAATTATGCAAAAAACCTGAGAGGGATAGTGGATGAGAGAAAATGAAGGGAGGGTTTAAGTTACCTGATGAATCCCACCAGTTTGCATCATCAGTAGAAGTTTTGCAAAGATATTATATATATTTTAATGTCTTACGACCACAACCACGACCACAACCACGACCACATCAAGTCAAGGGAGTCTTTTAAAATAAGAGAAGAATAAACTCCGTCAGTTAAAACAATAGAGTCCTACAAGAGACAGATTCACAAGCCAACTTTGGCACACCGGGCGGAAACACCGAACGTCCTGTGATGATGCTCTTTTGTTTGTCTCCCCGGCCGCCATGACGCTTTGTTTACGTTCACAGGCGTCACTTCCTCTATCTTTTAATGTGCATTGTTGAGACCCCAAGCCAGTCAAAAATAAAACCGTTGTAATTACACTTAGCTCATGACAACAGCGTTAATTCTCTTATCGGTTTATCTCAGTTTTATATCAATGATTTTTCTTTCTCTTGATTCCGTAACTCGACTCTAACACACAGAGAAGACAAACAGTACTTGAAAGGCGTTGTATTTTACGCATTTTACGCTCGTTGCTGCGCTTTTGTTTCTTTCTCTGTCTCTCTTGTCTCTCCCGCTTCGCCCCCTGTTTTAGGCATAAATTATTACACCCCGCATACTTACCTCTTGACGGATAGCGCAATTAAACTGGCGGAAAAAGCTGTCTGGTGCGCTATATTACCAGACGGCCTCAATAAACGAGATGTCCGTGTAGACTCCTCACCTCGGCGGAAAAACGTAACCACTGTCTGTGTGTGTGTGTGTGTGTGTGTGTGTGTGTGTGTGTGTGTGTGTGTATTTGTTATGATATACCTGTCGTCTATGTTCCTGTGTTTGTTTGTTTTAGTATATTTAGAGCCACTGTTATTTGTTGGTGTCCCCGAAAAAAAAATCCGTGTGTGTGTGTGTGTGTGTGTGTGTGTGTGTGTGTGTGTGTGGATGACGGGGAAGGGTGTGCCGGTATATCTGTTTTCTTGCATATGTATTTATTCTTACACGCGAAAATTGTGTTTGTTGATGCACCCAAGATGCCTTTAGATGAGGCATAGTCTGTGTATTTATCTCCCTTATATTTGTTGACACACGCCCAAGACTGTGTTTGTTGCTACAGCCGAGGATCAGGTTTGTATCGTAACAGCTGATTATTGTAAACATACATACTCGGCACAGTCAACGTGGTATGTAAACAAATAAGGAGACTGTGTTTCTCTGTCGATGATGAAGTCACCGCGTGCCGTAGTGCTTGAGTCATGGTGAGTGTGTTGTCTACTTGGTGTGTGTGTGTGTGTGTGTGTGTGTGTGTGTGTGTGTGTGTGTGTTAATACTAACAATTGCTGACCTTAGCTTAACCGCCTGGGCGGGATTACTAACATTTGCTGACCTTAGCTTAACCGCCTGGGCGGGATTACTAACATTTGCTGACCTTAGCTTAACCGCCTGGGTGGGATTACTAACATTTGCTGACCTTAGCTTAACCGCCTGGGCGGGATTACTAACATTTGCTGACCTTAGCTTAACCGCCTGGGTGGGATTACTAACATTTGCTGACCTTGGCTTAACCGCCTGGGTGGGATGGACCCGTCGGATGTCACAAGTCTTCGCTTACCAGGATCACCAGCCCAACACACCAGCCCAACTCAACACACCAGCCCAGCCCAACGCACCAGCCCAGCCCAACACACCAGCAGATGGATTGTTGTGTTGGGTTTGAATCTTCTTTTTCCGGGGAATAGCCCACCCGGGAACAGGTCATCTAGGGGGCGGTAGGAGAACAGTCATGAGGACACTCAAGTTTGGGCAGAAACGCTGCACGACTGTCCCAGGTGGAGAAGCATGACGAAGGACTGCAGAATGAAGCCAACGGTGTGAGAATGAGTCTGTTTAAAATTACCTAATCTCGAGGTTGAGAGAATAACTTATCTTGCTTCTCTCGCTAGTGTTTCACTTTACTTTAAAACTTTACACAACACCACAACTGGAAACAATTCATTTTAAAATGAGAATTGGAGAAGCAATTTTGGTCCAGCAGTAGCGTTTGTTCTCGCGAAAATTCAATGCAACTGCAGTGAAAATACAGAAACAATATCTGATAAAATAGAGTGTAAAGACAGAGAAACAGAATATGATACAAATAAAAATATTCATTGTACGTTTATGTAGCATCAGTTAAAACAATAAAAATAATGAACACTATTGGTTTCTATGATAAAGATACAGTTTATGCAGAGGAAGCACCCCACCCATAATGGAAACAACACGTGTAAATAATAATAACAGAGACAACGGCGTGTAGATCTCGACAACCTATAATATATTCCAATGTGTACACTTAAGTAAAGACACCTTGTAGTATACTGTATGTATTCATAAGTGTATTTCTCTCAGTACTATTGCACAGTATATACGACTATACCTTACTATACCTTATGACAGACAGACAGACAGTTAGATACTGTATAGAAAGAAAGAAAGAAAGAAAGAAAGAAGCCTACTGCAATGTTGACACACACGTGGGTTTTTCAGCATACAAACTTTCCAACCATTCAACAGTCACTCGGACATACAGTCAGCAGAATCTGTGTGTAATTTCAGCGGCCCAGCGGTGATTACACGGAGAGCCAGCTAACCATTAACTACCTGCGCCATTTTTTCAATACTACCTGAGGGGAAAAGGTAGTTTGGGCAGCCAGTGGGGATGAATTTTTTTGTTTACTGTTAATGGGTGAAGTAAATTATCAGTAACGGAAGAGAACTGTTGCTAATGGAAGAGGTGTTTTATAAGTGAGTGAGTTTATGTTGTCAACGGCAAGTGTGTGTGTGTGTGTGTGTGTGTGTGTGTGTGTGTGTGTGTGTGTGTGTGTGTTATTAAAGGTGAGGACAAGTTAAGAATGAACCAAGAAGGAAGTGATAATTAATAATTGTTACTCCTCTTCCTCCTTACCACTTCTATCCTTCGCCTCCTACCTCCTCCTACCCTCCCCTCCCCCCTTATCAAATCTAGTCCTCCTCCTCCTCGTCATGATATTCAATCCTCTTTCTCTTCCTCCTCACCTTCGTCTTCTTCACACATTGTCTCCTCCTCCTTTCCTTCTCTTCCCCATCCATCTTCTCCTCTTCATCCTACTCCACTCTCCCATCTCCTTTGGCGACGCTTCTCTTTCCTCACAAAAGTAGGGTGAGGAAGAGTAGGAGTAGGAAGGAGTAGGAGTAGGAAGAGTAGGAGGGAGGAGGAGGAGGAGGAGGGATGAAGAGGGGCGATGCCTTGAGATTACAATAGAATAGAATATGTGAGTAGGCCAGATTATTCTCCCCGACGGTGCTCCCGATAACTCCATCTTCCAACAACTACTTCGATAACTTACTTGATAAATCGGGCTCCCGGTAATTCAGTCTCCCGATAACTCAATCTTCTGATAACTTAGTATCTAAATAAATAACTCCTTCAGATTTTACATCTTCCCAATATATGAAGTTCCCGATAAATCAATTTGCCGATTTTTCATCTTCCTGACATAACAACCTCTCAATGGCTAAACTCTCCGATATCTTAACTTCCTGATAACTATTCTTGGATAACTAAAAACATCGTTCCCAATCGTGTCCCGATAACTCTATCTCTAATAAAATGAGACAGGAACAGACACATAAAGACACAAACAAACAAGCAAGATAGACAGACAGACAGACAGACGGACAACCTGACGGGGGAAACAGAATCTCCCGATATAAGCGTCAGATGTATTAGTTAACTCTAGCAGAGCCTCTACCCCCTCCCCCCCCCACCTTGACTAATGCTCGAGGAGGAGGAGGAGGAGGAGGAGGAGGGGGAGGGGGAGGGTGGGAGAAAGTGGGAAGTGGTAGGGGAGAGGGAGAGAGGAGAGGGAAGGCGAGGGGGGTGAAGGGTAGGTGAGGAAGAGAGAGGGAAGAGGAAAAGATGGAGGTAGAGACGACCCTGAATCTTGAGGCATTATAAGCTTACAGAGAGAGAGAGAGAGAGAGAGAGAGAGAGAGAGAGAGAGAGAGAGCTCAGGCGTAAGTACAAGGTGGCTTTGGTCTCCTACTGGATATATTATGTATGTAAAGAGAATAAGAGTCTTGCCTCACGTTAGCTCGGCTCACAACACCCACCTCCTGGAGACGGGTTCTGGGAGTATGGGGTTCTGGGGAGATATGGGGGTTCTGGGGAGGAGTATGGGAGGAGTTAGGGGTTCTGGGGAGGAGTATGGGGTTCTGGGGAGGAGGGGGATGGGGGTTCTGGGGAGGAGTATGGGGGTTCTGGGGAGGAGTATGGGGTTCTGGGGAGGGTATGGGGGGGTTCTGGGGAGGTATGGGGGTTCTGGGGAGGAGTATGGGGTTCTGGGGAGGTATGGGGGTTCTGGGGAGGGTATGGGGGTTCTGGGGAGGTGTGGGACTGGGGAGGAGTATGGGGGGTTCTGGGGAGGAGATGGGGTTCTGGGGAGGTGAGGGTTCTGGGGGAGCATGGAGGTTCTGGGGGTTCTGGGGAGGAGTATGGTGGGGTTCTGGGGAGGAGCATGGGGTTCTGGGTAGGGAGCATGGGGAGGAGTATAGGGGTTCTGGGGAGGAGTATGGGGTTCTGGGCCCAGGAGTATATGGGGTTCAGGGGAGGAAGTATAGAGGGGTTCTGGGGGGAGGAGCATGGGGTTCTGGGGGAGGGAGTATGGGGTGGGGAGGTATGAGGGTTCTGGGGAGGAGCAGGAATATGGGGTTCTGGGGAGGAGCATGGGGGTTCTGGGGAGGAGCATGGGGTTCTGGGGAGGAGAGCATGGGGTTCTGGGGGGAGGAGTATGGGGTTCTGAGGGGGAGTATGGGGTTCTGGGGGAGGAGTATAGGGGTTCTGGGGAGGAGCAGGGGTCTGGGGGAGGAGTATGCAGGAGCATATGGGGGTTCTGGGAGGTATGGAGGTTCTGGGAGGAGTATGGGGGGTTCTGGGGGAGGAGTATGGAGGTTCTGGGGAGGATGGGGCAGGGGTTCTGGGGAGGAGTATGGGGTTCTGGGTAGAAGTATAGGGGTTCTGGGGGAGGAGTATGGGGTTCTGGGGGAGAAGTATGGGGTTCTGGGGGGGTATGGAGCAGGGGTTCTGGGGAGGTGTGGGGGTTCTGGGGAGGAGCATTCTGGGGAGGGGGGGCTGGGGGAGGGTATGGGGGTTCTGGGGGAGGAGCATGGGGGTTCCTGGGGAGGAGCAGTATGGGGTTCTGGGAGTGAGCAGGGTGGGGGTTCTGAGAGGTTCTGGGGAGAGGAGTATGGGGGTTCTGGGGGAGGAGCATGGGGGTTCTATGCATAGGTTTGGGGAGGGAGGGTATGGGGGTTCTGGGGAGGAGCATGGGGAGTATGGGAGTTCTGGGGAGGAGCATGGGGGGAGGTTCTGGGAGATATTCTGGGGAGGTGGGGAGGAGCATGGAGGTTCTGGGGAGGAGGGTTCTGGGGGTCTGGGGAGGAGCAGGAGGTTCTGGGGAGGAGCATGGGGGTTCTGGGAGGAGCATGGAGGTTCTGGGGTTCTGGGGGTATATGAGGGTTCTGGAGGAGGTATGGGGTTATGGGAGGAGGGTCTGGGGAGGAGATCTGGAGGTCCCTGGGAGGGAGGAGCATGGGGGTTCTGGGGAGGAGCATGGGGGTTCTGGGGAGGAGTATGGAGGTTCTGGGGAGGAGCATGGAGGTTCTGGGGGAGGAGTATAGGGGTTCTGAGGAGAGTATGGGGGTTCTGGGGAGGAGCATGGGGGTTCTGGGGAGGAACATGGGGGGATCTGGGGAGGAGTATGGGGTTCTGGGGAGGAGCATGGAGGTTCTGAGGAGGAGTATAGGGGTTCCTGGGGAGGAGGGGGCATGGGGGTTCTGGGGGGTTCTGGGGAGGGTATGGGGGATCTGGGGAGGAGTATGGGGTTCTGGGAGGAGTATAGGGGTTCTGGGGAGGAGTATGGGGATCTGAGATCTGGGAGGAGAGGAGTAGCAGAGTATGGGGACCCAGGAGGAGGGGTTCTGGGGGAGGGTATGGGGGATCTGGGGGGAGGTCTAGGGGTTCTGGGGAGGAGTATGGAGGGATCTGGGGAGGAGCATAGGGGTTCTGGGGAGGAGTATAGGGTTCTGGGGAGGATAGGGGGATCTGGGGAGAATATAGGGGGTTCTGGGGGGAGGAGTATGGGGGTTCTGGGGAGGAGTGCTGGGGGGGTTCTGGGGAGGAGTATGGAGGTTCTGGGGAGGAGTATGGGGGTTCTGGGAGGAGTATGGAGGTTCTGGGGAGAGTATAGGGGTTCTGGGGGTTCTGGGGAGGAGGTTCTGGGAGGGGGAGTATGGGGGATCTGGGGAGGAATGTAGAGAATAAAATAATGGGTAGAACAGAAATAAATGAGGGGTGGGAAAATAGGGACATGTGGGAGAGACAGAGAATGGTAAGGGACAGGGGTAGTGAGAAGGGAGAAGGGAGGAGGAATAGAGGTGTGGGGGGGGTGTGGGGGGGGTAGGAATTATAGCTTGGGGAGTAGGGGGAAGGAATGTGGTGGGATTTCAGGCAACATATACCTCCCCCTTACACCCCACACACACACACACACACACACACATCCATAGTCACCCCACCCACGTTCACACCCTCACCACCACACCTCACCACCACGCTACCTCCCACCACCACCCCTTCCCTCCCACCACCCCACCACCACACCCACACCCTCACCCTCACCACCTCCCCACACCCGCACCCTCACCACCACCACACACCCTACACCTCTTACCACCACGTTACCCCCACTCACCACACCCACACCCCTCACCACCACCACACCTGCACCCCCTCACCACCACACTTACACCCTTACCACCACGTTACCCCTGCCACCACACCCGCACCACCACCACACCCACACCGCACCCTCACCACCACACTCACACCCTACCACCACGTTACCCCGCCACCAACACCCGCACCACCACCACACCCACACCCCTAGCGCTCGTCTGCAGGAAACATAATGACTGCAGGACTCAGCTAGTTTGCAAGTCAGATGGAAAGAGGAGGAAAGAAGTGAGCGGTTTCTCCCATAAACACAACATTACCATACTAATGTCTCCTTTTGCCTAAATCGTATTGTTGGGGATCACGTCATTATACCCACTGTATATTATTACCCCGACCTCCCCACCTCCCTTTCCCCCCTTCTCCTCCTCCTTTCTCTCCTCTCCGATTTACTCCCCTTCCTTCTCCTCTTCATCCTTCCCTCTCCTCTTTCCTTTTCCTCCTCCTCCTTCCCCTTTCTTCTCCTCTTCTTTCCCTACCTCTACTATTCTACCTCTATCTCTTCTACTTTTCTCTACTCTTTCTCCTTTTTTCCTGCCTCCTTTCCCCTTTCTCCTCCCCACTTCTACCTCATTCCTTCCTCCCTCCTCTTCCCTTGTCTTCTTTCACGTCTTCCCCATTACCATCTGCCTTACGTCTTATTATTTTCTTCTTTTCGTCATATTTTCTCCTTCCTCCCTTTACTCTTTTCCCATATTCTCTTTTACTTCCTCCACTGACATTATCTTTCTACCTTCTCTCCACACCCTCTTCTATCTCTTCTTCATCCCCCTAATCCATCTTTTTTATTTTCTTCTTTTGCTGCCTCCCTTCCCCTTCTCTTCTACTGCTCCTCCTCCTCTTACATACCTCCTCCTTCTACTCCCCCGCACCTTCTTCACCTCCTTTCCTCTGCCTGAACCTTTGCCCCTTCTCCTACTCTTCCTCTTACCACTTGTCATTTCTTGTCTCCTCCCCTGCACACACCTTCCCCTCCTCTTCCACCTCCACTTCTCCTCACCTCACCCCTTCTTATATCTCCACACCTTCCCCTTCCCCTCCATCATACTTAATCCCTCCTCTTCTACCTCCACTTCTCCCTATCTAATCCACTTCACTACTAAACCCACCTCATCTTCCCTCTTCCTTTACTCCTCACCTCTTCTCTCCACACCTCCTCCTCCTCCTCCTCCTCCTGCTCCCCAGTTTTTCCTTCAAGCAGCGCCTGGTAGATTAGGTTATCTCAAGCATCATGGAGGGACGTGAGCCTCTAATTCTGCCTGCATTATACCACAAGCAATTTAGCCAAGATTTCATCGACGCAAGAGGAGAAAAAAAGGGAAAAGCATAAAAGTGGTGTATGAATAGGAATTATCGCTGTAATCATAACTGCTTTAATTTTAGCCACCGCCTGCAGAGAAGGAAGGGCTTATTGTAACTAACTCCGTCTACGTGTTGAGTGTGTGTGTGTGTGTGTGTGTGTGTGTGTGTGTGTGTGTGTGTGTGTGTGTGTGTGTGTCACTCCAACATCTATAGACCGTGTTTACAGACCGTGATAAAACTCAGCAAGTAAGAATTAGGTTCAAGAGACTATTAGAAATAATCTTATTAAAACTGAAGCAAGACGAAGACTCTGCCCCACAACTTAGGTTAGGTTAGTGTATAGCAACCAAATATCACCATCATCAATACCAAACACCACCACTACCACAGCATCGTCATCACCATCACTATCATATCCCTTCATTACCATACCACTACCACACCACCACCACCTCAACCACACCATCACCACCTCAACCACACCACCACCACCTCAACCACACCACCACTACCATCACCACCACCGTCACTATTACAACACTAACGCACGACCACACCCACGTCATCACCACCACCACTACCACACCACTACCACACCACCACCACCACACCATTACCACAACCACCACCACCACCACCAATACCACAACCACCACCACTACCACAATCACCACCACTAGCACCAAGAGGAGTGTTAAAGTGTAAGTAGCTGTAAGAGAGACAACTTTTGGCGGATCACACAAGAGTTTAATGAAAGCTCATCCTCGCCCGCTGTATCACGGGGGGGAGAAGAAAGAAGTGGGTGAGTGTGGAGACGGAGGAGAGGAGGGTGAGAGAGAAGGGGTGGAGAGAATGGGGTGAGAGAAAAGAGTAGGTCAGAAAGGCGTGGGGGTTGTAGTTGGGTGTAGGGAGACAAGTGTGGGTTGGGGAGATGAGGACTTGGTGAAGAGATGTGTGTGGGGAGTAAAAAGGTGTGGCATGGGGGAAATAGGGGAGACGTGGGAGATAATGGGGTGTAAGAGACATAGGTGTATTACAGGTGAGGACAGGTACTATTATTCCACCTTATAATATGAAGCATAATTACAATAGTATCATTATATTATACATTAAAAGGTTTCACTCTGATCAAGACTCAAACACTAACTTCGAAAGGTACTCAATATATACAAGATGACGCTGCTATTATCAAAGGCTTTTATATTATCGAAATAATAGAAAAATTATTTAAATTACCTTTAGTATTTCAATAACAGATTCAGTTGTAATTCATATTCAATAATGTGATGATAAACCTTAATAATAAGAAAAAGAACAGCAACTATAAAAAAAAAAAAAAAATAATAATAATAATAATAATAATAATAATAATAATAATAATAATAATAATAATAATAATAATAATAATAATAATAATAATAATAATAATAATAATAGCAACAACAACACGAACAATAACACGTAACATCACCAAGAGAACCACAGCCTTATTGTCAGACCACCAAAAGGCTCCACCAGGTTAAGGTATGAAGGAAAGGCCGGATCCATTATTCACCAATACCTTGTCGGGTGAAACTTTTAGAGACAAAACATACCAGCGGTGGAGCGCCTCTCATCAACATGCTGGGCTAATATTCATAAAGAAAATTTGTGAGACAAGTATACAAGGCGAAAATGCAAACACACATATATTCACACATGTTCACAAGGTTTATATATATATATATATATATATATATATATATATATATATATATATATATATATATATATATATATATATATATATATACGTGTAAGCCTATATGTATATTTATGTGCGCTCGAAAGTGTGTCCATATACTGTACACAAATGTACACAAAAGAGACAGAAAACACCATTGGCTTTATAACTAAAAATAAAAAGGAATTTAGAAAAAAGAGAAGTCGGCCTCTTTAAAGCCATGCACTGACACACACACATCATATATATATTGGGCTAATGAAATATATATATATATATATATATATATATATATATATATATATATATATATATATATATATATATATATATATATATATATATATATATATATATATATATATACAGAGCGTATAAAACTTACGCAAGATAAAAAAACACTAAATCCTTCTTTTCCTTCCACTAAAGTTTTGTTGTGTGAGGACTTGCTCTCTCTCCCTCCCTCTCTCCTCCAACTGTTGAAGAAATACTGAAACGGTGGTGGAGAGACCCTGGAGTTATGTTGGAGGTTGTTGGAGAAATCACGCTGGAAGTTTACTCAAATGGTGTTGAAAACTATGCCGGCGGGAACGTGGGTGAAATAAAAAAAAAGTCGCTTATGTTACCGTGTTAGTGTAAGTTCTTTCTCTATCTTTCTCTCTGTCTCTCTCTTTCTTTTCTCTCTCTCTCTTTATATCTCTATCAATATCTCTGTGTCTCTGCATACCTATCTCTCATTCTATCTATCTCTAGGATTCAGAACGACAGTGAAAGAGACAGAATATGTTTTTTAAAGAAGGTGGAATATTTGCTCCGCGATACTTGAGGGGGAGGGTGTGTGCGGCGGCCGAGTGGATACAGCACTCTACTCCTGTTCCAAGGGTCGTTGGCTCGATCATGGGGCACTCCCAGTCCACCCAGTTGTAAATGGGTACCTAATCTTTACAAGTTGGGGTAGGGAAGGTAGTCGTGTGCAGTTCCGGTCACGCTGCCTCCTTGTATTCCGAGGGGTTAGTATACTGTGCACTCTATCCTAAGGGTACCACATAACACTTTATAGTTGAGGGGGAGATTTGACCAGGGTATTGGAGATGATGAAACAGTGGTGAAAATAGAACACAGGAGAGAGAGAGAGAGAGAGAGAGAGAGAGAGAGAGAGAGAGAGAGAGAGAGAGAGAGAGAGAGAGAGAGAGAGAGAGAGAGAGAGAGAGAGAGAGAGAGAGAGAGAGAGAGAGAGAGAGAGATGAACTGGAATTTTCTGAAACAGTGCTGAGGTAAATAGCATCCTAGAGAGAGAGAGAGAGAGAGAGAGAGAGAGATGAACTGGAATTTTCTGAAACAGTGCTGAGGTAAATAGCATCCTACATAAGACATAAACAACCTTGAGTGAATGACTTCCTACAGGAACAAGGAACGTACTGTACTGGAGGAACACGCATTCACGAATGATGTCCAGAAGGAACGAAGAACGCCCTGTAGTG